TTTACGAATGGGACAAATCTGCAAGAGGGGATAGTAGGTATCAAAGCAACTCCTTGTCATTGGAACTGTGCTGGTGACGCATTGCTGCCAATGCCGACAGCAGGTGCCATTCAGATTGCTAGGGACTCAGCCTTCCTTTCCAAGTGGTAGCACTAATAGCCCTTCTAAGATCCAGTCTTATATCACTGTGAAACTTTTAGGCGGAGAACATAAAGTAATGTAAGTGGAAATAGCCCCTAATCTAAGGAAAAAACCTTTATCATTGGCCATGGTGACTGGCAGAAAAACCAGTTCTGTTGCAACTTAATTGAACTTTTTTTTAACTGACAACCTCAGCCCCACAGGATAAAATGGAGGAGGAGAGAGCATAAGAACATAAGAGACACCAATGTTGGATCAGGCCAAAGGCCCATCCAGTCCAACACCCTGTGTCACACAGTGGCCAGAAATACCAGGTGCCATCAGGAGGTCCACCAGTGGGAGAGCACCATATATGTTGCCCTGAGATCTGTAGAGGAAGGGTGGGATAAAACCATGGTATAATTTCTTCCAAATTTCAGCGTGTTCCTGTATTTAATCATAGCCATAGTGGAGGCACTAAGTCAAATGCATAACCGTATACTCTGCTACTGTGAGAAGACCAGCAGGTGCAGGACCCTCTCGTGTTCAGTGAAGTGTCGTATGTTGGTTCCGCTCAGGATGTTGGTTCCGCTCAAGATGTATATTCTCTTTGACAGCTGACTTTTGGACTGGTTGTGCTTGCTGAGGGAGTGGCAATATGCAGCTGCCACAGGGCAGTGTGGCTTTGGTGGCTGCTTTGGTGCTCCTTAGCCATGGGTTGAAGATATTAATGTTGCTCTCCTGCCTTGAGATGCAGTACTGCTACAAAAAGAGCCCTGCGGGCTCTGATCAGCCCTGGTCAGGCTGTCTTGATCCAGAGGCTTTTCTACTGCATTCATCACCGAGGTGCTGCTCATTATTCTGAATGAACCGCGGGCAGCCAGGTATCAAACGGTTCTTGGGCTTTTAATCACGGCAGAGAAGGGAGTGTTCCCCTGGGAGCTGGGTCTCTCGTCCCTGCAGGGGAAAGTTGAGCCGTCAGCCCCAAGGTAAGACAGAGGTCTCAAACCATTTTGGGTTGCCAGCCTCCAGGTGGGTCAAACAATAAATATATACAACTGCAAAAATCTTTTTTTATATAAATTAATGTGTTCTGTTTGTTCCACCTTATAAAGTGCACTGTGTGCTGTTTTTTGTTGTTCAGTCGCACAGTCGAGTCCGACTCTTCCTGACCCCATGGACCAGATCACGCCAGGCCTTCCGGTCTTCCGTCGTCCTCTGAAGTTTGCTCAACTTCATGTTCGTTGCATCGATAACACTGTCTAACCATCTCATCCTTTGCTGTCCCCGTCTTCTTTGACCTTCAATCTTTCCCAGCATCAGGGTCTTCTCAGGTATGTATTCATTACATGCAATATCAACAATAATAATCCATTCGTTCGGTATAATAACTACCAGTCAATTTACATCCTTTTTTCCCACCAAAGTCAAACCCCGATGGGAGCCTTGAGAAAGACAGGAGTGCTCCGTCTGTGAACTTCAGGCTGCTTAATGTGCCTCTCGTAGGACCAGCAACAAACATCAATTTGAACATCAATGTAACCACAAAAGAAACCTTTCTCCCTTTAGAAGATTTTCAAGCAAGGAGAAGCGGGCGTATAATGCCAGAAACGCCCGTTGGGGTTTGACTTTGGTGGGGAAAAGGATGTAAACTGAGTGGTAGTTATTATACTGAATGAATTATTATTGTTGATATTGCATGTAATCAGGGCTTTTTTTGTACATGATTACATGATTTTTTTGCACAGGAACTCATTAGCATAACAGGCCATGCCCAACAACAGGAACTCATTAGCATATTAGGCCACACCCCATGCCTACCCTTAGCTTGCCCGGGTGCCCCGTGGCTGCAGGAAGTCTGGGCAAGCCAGCCCTTCAACAGGCTGGGGAAGGCACGGGGAGGCATTTAAATGGCTCCCCGCCAGTCCTTGGACAGGCCAGGAGGAGCCCCCTGGCCTGCCCCCCTTGGAGTTGCTGGGGGGGGTCACTCTCCAGGCCTTTCCTCTGTGACCATGCACACAGAGGTTTTGGCTGTACTGGGCGTGGCCAACTCTGAAGCCAGCCGGAACTCCATTCCTGTGCGTTCCTGCCCCAAAATAGCCCTGCATGTAATGAATATATACAGCTGTTTTAGGATATTATAAACAGCACACAATGCACTTTAAAAGATGGAACACACAGAACGCATTAATTTATATAAAAAAGATTTTTGCAGTGTATATATTTATTGTTTGACTCCTCTAACACTGCAGCTTGGGTGGCTACAGCCTCCAGGTGGGGCCCGGAGATCGCCTAGAATTACAATTGATACCCAGACTACAGAGGCCAGTTCGCCTGGAAAAGATGGCTGCTTTGGAGGGTGAAATCGATGGCATTATTATACCCTGCCGAGGTCTCTCCTCTCCCCAAGCCTTCCCCAGCCTCCATTTCCAAAGCTCCAGGAATTTCCCGACCCGAAGTTGGCAACCATATGAAGAGGGACCATTGGTGGGGACGTTTGTCAGGCAGGTAAGTGGAAATACATTTTTGGTCTACACGATCCAAAATGTCCCGCTCGCTTCTCTTTTGCGGCCCAGACTTCCAAGTGCCTGTCTAGCTTGGTGGGTCATAAGGTAGGCAGCCTGGCTCTCGAGACAACCCCGAGGAGGGCGGGGTTTGGGGAGGGGCTTCAATGGAGTATAATGCCACAGAGTCCACATTCCACAACAGCGACTTTCTCCAGGAGCCAGTTTGGTGTCGTGGTTAAGTGCGCGGACTCTAATCTGGGAGAACCGAGTTTGATTGCCCACTCTTCCACGTGCAGCTGCTGGTGTCACCTTGGGTCAGTGACAAGTTCTCTCAGAGCTGTTCTCTCACGAGCCGTTCTCGAGAGAGAGGGCTCTCTCAGCCCCACCTCCCTCACAGGGTGTCTGTTGTGGGGAGGGGAGGGGAAAGGAGACTGTAAGCCGCTCTGAGGCTCCGCGTGAAGGACACGGTATCAATCCAATCTCCTCCTTCCCTCCCCCCCTCCTCTTCTTCTTTGATCTCTGTCACCTGGAGATTAATTGTAATCCCAGGAGATCTCCAGCCGCCCCCTGGAGGTTGGCAACTAGACCAGCTGCCACTCTTTGGCCTGGAAAGAGGGCTCAAAAAGATGCCACCAGGCACCCTGCTGTCCTTGGCAGGGGGCAGCGGAGTTGTTGATTTCCTTTTGGTTAGCTTGGCACACCCCGGGCTTGGATCGCTGCCCCAGCCTTGGTGCCAGGCTCCGGCTCAGTTGCTCCCTTGTCCTTCTCCTCTGAAGGGAGGGAGGGATGCCAGGT